TGCAAATTAAAAAAAATTTTTTTTTTATTATCATCATAATCTTGTTTATATTACATTGGATTACATATAACTTTACATTGTATTACATTGCTTTTTCAAAAGGGAATGCCATGCATGTCAGTCAATACAGAGACATTAATCTCCCCGCTTCATCATTCAATATCTTTTCTATGTTTTTCCCAATCATTATTATTAAGAAATGCAAATTTTTGAAGCTCACCCCTGACCTATTGAATCAGAAACTGTGAGGTGAGGACTAGTAATCCGTATTTATTATTTTACTGTATAAAAATTTTTAAAAAATTGATTTTTAAAGGGATGATGTAATTTTTTTATTCATCAGCATCATCATCATTATTATGTTTAAATTTGAAAGTGAGAAAACAAGCTGCCAGGTCCAGGACTTGAACCACAGTTGGCCATGTGGAAGTTCAGCACATTAACCACCATGCCATTTGCCAGCCTCTTTTTAAAGTTTCTTTGTTTATGGTAGAGAGCACATGTGTGCATGGTAGAGAGCACTTGTGTGCATGCGAGAGACAGAAGGAGGGAGAGTGAGAGCATGAGCCCTCGGTAGAGGTTCATCATGCGATAATTCCCTTTCCTTAGCCCTGTGGTTCATCATCCTGGGTACTTGCATGGCCTGTTTTCAGGCTGACCTGGGGATCTGAACATGTGGTTGGCATGTGGTTTCCATCACCGCCGTTTGGTTTGCTACCTACTGTGTCACCATGCAGGACCTAATTTTTCATTTTCAAACAGTTTGGAATTGCCTAAAAGAAAACCCAAAGCCAAAAAACAGAAAACCATAATAAAGTTAGGAAGTAGTACCACACAGTTCCTTTCACTGTTGAGCAGCTTCTGCGGATGTTAACATCTTACCTGACCATAGGCCAGTGATCAGCACCAGGGCATTAATGTTGGCGCGCCACTCTGAGTTGTTCTACAGACCCGACTTGAATTTTATCAGTTGTCGCATGCCATTCTTTTCTTGTTAATTCCGGTTCAAGATGACACATAGCATTTAGTTTCTCATCACCTTAGAGACTTTAGATCTGGGACAATTCCGCCATCTTGTCTTCCATGATCTTGGCACTTCTGAAGACAACTAGTTCTTTTGTAGACTCTCTCTCTGTTTGGGTTGGTCTGATTGTCTTCTCACAATTGAATTCCAGTTGTACATTTTCCAAAGGATGTCACGGAAGTGACCCGCACCCTTTCACACATAGCTGGGGTGTATGATGTTGGCATCACTGTGTCTTGTCACTGGCGGTGTGGACTTCCCCACCCGGTCATGGTGGTCACAGCAGTGTATTTCCTCTGCTAAGTGACTGTTTTCTCCCGTGTAGTTCATAAGTATAATATTTCAAAATGACATAAATGGCTTGTTTCCTATTTTTTAAAAGAACTATTTTATTTAACTTTTTAAAATTTACTTATTTAAATTTGACCAGAGAGGGATGAAGTGAGAGAGGGAGGGAAAGTGAGAAAGTAAGGTCTGGGACTCCAACCATGGTTGGCTGTGTGGGAATCCAGCACTCTTAACCACCATGCATGAGAGAGAGAGAGAGACAGAGAGACAGAGAGACAGAGAGACAGACAGTGAGAGGGAAGGTGAGAACTCACCCTCTGGGGGGATGGCCATGCTGCAATCCCCTCTCTTCCGTTCTCCTTCTGGGATCTTGGGTGTGCACGCACATGCACCCAGTCTGATTTTCAAGCCACTGTGTCTGGGACTTGAACCACAGTCAGTCATGTGGGAGTCCTGCAATGTAACTACTATACATCTGCTGGCCCCCATAGCTGGTATTTTAAAGAAAGGACCAGGGGAGCCCATCTTGTGGCACCATCCACAGAACTCTGGGTCTTGGAGGAGGGAGAGCTGTGCATGGGACAATGGGGTGGGTTTCATTCCCCATCTCGTAGTGTAACTAGCTGGCTTTCTGATTCCCAGTGGGCCACCTCCCTCAAGCAGGAGCTGGATCTTGAATTCCTTCTGCATTTGGAGGGCCACCCTCCCCCCAAAGGGATAGCACAGCATGGGGCTAGGGGGGCTTTCTAAGAAATTTGTCAGTTGCTGTGGGAACTGGTGGATCCCATGGGAGAGGGAGAGGTCCTGTCTGTTAGGAAGACACAGTGTATCTTTGCTGGATTTCATTACATTTGTTAATTATTTCTTTGTCCTTTTTTTTCTCCCCAGAGAGCACAGATAACTTTGAATTAGGTAAGTCTGCTTTACCTTTTGCTTTGAAACTGATCAATTCTAATACTTCAGGTGACTGTCAGATTCTTGTGATGTAGCCACCTCTGCTGTTCCCTATCATCTCCAGCCCCCTGGCAGCTCAGGGCATCTGAGCAAAGTGTGAAAACAGGAGCGTAGAAATGCTTCTTGGGCAGCTCTATGCCTGCTCTTCTTGGGTAATCACTTGGGTGTCCTGGCTTCCTTCAGGTAGTTTTCTAAGGGTGGCCATGCCATGGGTCTCCCTACCCAGACGAAAAGGGGCTGTGTGTCAGGATGGATGTGAGGTGTCATGTGCCCGCTAGAACCTTAGCAGTCATTTTTTAAAAAAGAATTATATTAGCTTTATTAATTTATTTTTAATTTGGCCAGAGAGGGACAAAGAGAGAGAGAGAGAAGAAAGTGAGAAAGCAAGTCACCAAGTCCGGGACTTGAACTATAGTCAGCCATGTGGGAGTGTCCAGCCTTAACCACCAAATTTTACATAAGAACTTTTGGGAATTACATCCAAACCACAGTCACCCTTGATCTCTCAGTTTAGTTGCAAGTTCACAGTGCAAGGTAACCTACTTTGTTGCCACCATGCCACCTGCCGGCCCCTCTCATTGGTCATTCTTACAGCAAGAATACGGAGCTATAAACCTGTTAGTGTTTCTCACCTGCTTCAGAAGCCCAGCAGTTTGACTGGGACCACCCTCATATGGAATTGTCATTTACCAGATCTCTTGATAAGCTGTACGTCCTCAAATTTCTCTTCTTTAAATGCCAGATGGCATGTGCATGTATGCACATATATGAGAGAGAGAGAGAGAGAGAGAGAGAGAGAGACCCACCCCCAGTGGGTCCTGGTCATGCTTCAATTCTTTTCCTTTTAATTCTCTGTCCCCTCAGGACCCAGGATGCCTATGTATGTGCCAGTGCATATTTTTCAAGCTGTTGGGGCCAGGACTGGAACCCTGGTCAGCCATGTGGGATCCAGCTTCCTCTGGGCAGCATTTCACTGTTGTACTATGGTGCTGGCCTTCTCAGATGGAACTACTGCGCTCAGTTTATCAGTAATGTGGTGCCAGGGCTAGACAATCCTGAGAAGATTTGGGGTTTAGCTTGTGGACTGTGGGGAAACCCTTATTTATTCCTTTTTCTTCTCCTCCCCCTGGGAGGTGGGAATAACAGCTGTGGCTACTGTCATTTCTGCCAGTGGCTGGCCTGACACAGTAGACCGACCAGTCCTCTTTAGGAACATCTCCAGCCACTTGGCACTGACGTCCATACCATCTGTAATGCCTTTAGTTGGCCTCGGTCTTAGAGAACTTGTCATCTCATCACATGTCCCTTCCGGGGATTCTGAATTGGGGCCATTTCTTGTCCTGGAGGTGACTGTAGATAGAAGACTTGGCTTCTCAGCTGGGCCATGCTGGGTAGAGGTAGTCTTTCCTAGTCAGATGGTTTCATTTTTAAATTTGAGCTGCTGTTGTGCTTATACTCAGTGTTAGGCAGGTGGATAGTTGATCATTGATGGGGACAGAGACCTCCAGGATCTCAAGGAAGAGTAGAGCCGAGAAAAGGAAAGGCTTGGGAGAGTCGGAGGGAGGAAAAGGAATGGCTGCAACAGAGAGTAAAGGAATGTCAGCGACAGCTGTCATCACTGGTAGCATTTGCCTAATCCAGACCCTGGCTAGAATCCCAAACCATTTTCTTCTTTTCTTCCCAAAGCTCATGGGTCATGCTGCCCAGGTTCCATTATTTTCTTCCCAAAGCTCATGGGCCATGCTGCCCACGTTCCATTATTTTCTTGGGAGTGGGGGAAGGAGATGGGAATGAAGGTCCTTTATCCGTAATGAAGCCAGTCCGTGAGCTGCAGTTCCAGCCAGGTGGCCAAGTGACCAGCCGGGGACC